TGTTTTGTTTTGTTTTGTTTTGTTTTGTTTTGTTTTGTTTTGTTTTGAGACAGGACCTTACTGTGTAGCCCTGGCTGACCCGAAAGTTGCTACATAGTCCAGGCAAGCAAGCCTTGAACTCACCAATCCACCTACCTCTGCCTCCAGAGTGCTCAGACTAAAGGCATGAGCCACTGTGCTCAGCTGCCCCAAGACTTTGAAGTAATCTCTTCACCTGGGCTTTATTCACAGCCCACCATAGAAGCAAAAGTTCTAGCAGAAGCTTAGACACAGACCCAGGCCTCTTTCTGGGTCGTTGTCTTGTGACGCTTTTTCAGGGCTTTCATTTTCCTTGACATTTCACTGAGGAATTGTTTATCCATTGACTACTGCAGTTCCTGGACAGTCTGATTTCTACAAAGCACTGTTCATGGCAGTTACATCTATGTGGGCCGTCTGGAGCCCCTCAGTGGCTCCCTGCCCCACTGATGGGCAGCTCCTGTGGCGAACAGCTGTTGGGAGGAGAATGGCTTTACCCAAGGAGCTGCAGGTGCTAAGTGCTGGAAGGCGCTGGGCAGCATTCAGAGCTCTAGGCCAGTTTGAGCTGTGTGCCCTATTAGCCCAGCAGTCAGGCTTCCCTGGCAAGTTACTGTGGTGATTTAGTGGGTTAAAGCTACGAGTCACCAGAACTGTCCTAGGGTGGACAAATGGCTGTTTCTTATCCTCTCTCTTGTTCCCCAGCCCTCCCTGCCTCTTGACCAATATTCCCTGTCTAACCAAAAGCCAAACCGAATTCAGAGCACACGGCTTACTCCAGGGGAAATCTGGAGGTCAGACAGGTCAGGGGGAAAGCTGGTGGGTCTGGAGCCCTTTGAAAACTCTGAGAATAAGAGCACTTTCAAATGCTGTGTGCAAAGTTTTCCAGACAAAAACTTGTCTCACCAAGTTATTCCATCAACTATACTTGTTAGAATTATGAACTGCTCCTCCGCAAACCTCCCCAACTCCCATCTCACTTTGCTTTAGACTTAGCTTAATTGTGTTGGCTCTCTGTTCCAGTGTTTGGCCTCAGAATGAAAGCTGAAACTTTGCCTCCCTTCCTAAATTTGATTATGGAAACGTATTTCTGCTTCTAATTATAGTCTCAAGTAGAGAGAAGTTATACTTTGTAGTCTGCAAAACCCAATAATTATGTACAAAAGGTAGTAATTATACTTTAATCACTTTTGTCACTGTCCTCCCTAAATGTTAAGTTGGGAACTGTTGGCATTGGTAGACATGATCGTGCTGCCGTCACTTACAACCAGTATTAAGGTTTACACAGAACTGGTTTTCTCTTGACTTCACTGATGTCTGTGTTTGAATCTAGAGAAGTAAGTTTCTTCATGAAATAGGTGTAATATTTCAACTGCCTCAAAAACTTGGTGCAAGTGTTGAATAAGATAATGTACAGTAAACCCTTAGCTCGGGACCTAGCATGAAAGCATTTAGCAAGCTTACACAGTGCTTCTCAAAACACCCAGCCAGGGGCTTTATCAAACGCAGATGCCTGAGCCCTGCTCCCAGGTTCTTACTCTGTAGTTCTGGGGTAAGGTCTGAGAAGCCCCATTCCTAATAAGCTAGCTGAGATTAGAGCTGCCTAACTGTAGACCACATCTCAATCTCAATTTAAAAGATCACCCAGATTTTCTTGGTTTTGTGTTACAAAATATCTTATATGTGGTATTGCCCCGATGCTATGTAAGTAGTTTACAAAGGCGTTTAAAATGCAAAACAGACTCCTGCATAAAAGCCGCATACTTCATAATGAAGTCAATCTTTTGCAAGATGAAGCCCTCCACGTACCCACAACAGTGGGCTTAATGAAAGACTCGATAATATGCTTGTTGAAACTTTACGTTTAAGGGATAAAAAATTCTTTTAGATATTCTAAACCTCTCTAGCACCAATACCAAAACATATCTTTTTAAAAGCATTTATTTTAAGTGTGTGTGTGGTGTATATATATCTGCAAATGAGTTTAGGTTCCAATAGAAGCCGGAGGTTTTGGATCCCCTGGAACTGGAGTTACAAGCGGCTCTACACTGTCCAGTCTGGGTGCTAGCCCCTAACTCAGGTCCTCTGGGAGAGCAGAGATTAAATGCCCTCAGCCCGCCAAACCAGCAATCCAGCCCCAAAAATATTTAGGCACTTAAAGTAAGAAGAAGAAGGAACAAAATAGTATGAATACCTAGTATCAGAAACAGTCTATTATAATTGAGCTCAGTGAGAGCGTAGAGCTGTTGGTAAGTTCAACCCTAAACTGTGATAAAGCACTTACAAAGTAAACGAGAAGAGCAAGGCCTCCTAAGAGCACAGACTGATGTCGGACTAGCGTGATAAATACTGTTTGAATAGTAAAAGGTGATTCTGAAATTAAGACCATTTCTAGTCTTAGAAATAATTGTTCCACGTGGTTGCCAGTACTTACAAAATGCCTGGTTATTTAGCTGCCACGCCTTCTTGGAAGCATGTTGTAGCCATGATATATTGACCAGACTCTTCAGTGAAAGGAGGGGGGAAAAATCATACCCTAATTATATGCGTTATTTCCTGATGTGCTGCATGTAATTGCAGACTCCTCTAGCAGACTTCATCCGAAGTAATTAGTCTGAAAACCACTCACGAGCATAGGGCTGGGGCACTGTCTTAATAAGTGAGTGTAATGTGTGCCAGTTGCACCTATCATTTCACAGAGCCCACAATTAGGAAGTCAATTGTGACAGAACTGACCTCTCTGCAGCAGAAGTGGATCTGGACGTGCTGATAATCTACCCTGGCTTTTAGCTCACTGGCTCCGTTTTCTTAGCATGTTACCTACGCTGATGATGTTGGTATGTCGCTGTCTCCGCTGCATGCAAAGTGGGCGTTAGGCTTCTCGGTTGGTTAAAGGATCGCCCTTGATTTAGAATCACTTTCACGGAGAGCCGTGGTTTTGCACCTGATTTATTTTATGGACAAATATATTCCCTGCAATACCAAGCAATAGCAAGCTAATTTATAAGCTGCATTAACTTTTCCTGCTTAAAAAAGAAAGAAATGCAGTTTTAATTACAATGTTAAAAGACAAAAATTATTAAAATATTGAATCAAAGTCAGAATATGGAATCACATGTCCCCATTTTAAGGACTACTCTTCATGAAGGCCCAGGTCAGACTAGAAATACAGATGCCCAGTTAGCTGACACAGCTGTCCTTGTCTGTCTCTGTCCCCATCAACTCTCTGCAGAATGTCAACCTGTGTCTTGCTGCATTTTCATCCCTCAACTTTTAGATTCACATGACATTAATGAACATCCCAATTGTTTGAAAAGTGAAGAGGCCAGGAAAGGACCTAACCATATATGCATAGACAGAACAAATACATAACTCAACATTGAAGCATTTACTTGAATTTGATATTACACAATTTATCTCTACTTGGCATTAATTCTTTGTTCCAAATGGGATCTGAAAATGATTGTCAGCAAAGGATTGATTTCAAAGGTGGACAAGAAAGGGCCACAGGGAAGGAACACAGGGCGTGCCAATCCAGCCAGCCAGTAACTGATCCCTGAGCAATTAAAAGTTGACTGGGGTTTTAGAAACAAGACAGTGGCCTCAAATCTCCTCTGCGAGTTTTGATACGAGTCCACGCGCCAAATGTCCTGTCTGAACTGAACTGCTTTCACATTCACTCTTGGAGGGGTGTTCTGCAAGAGCTTGCTGCTGAGGGGCCCTCATGTGGTACAGTAAGCTCAACAGAGCAGAGTTCAAGTTAGGGAAGGAATCGTTCCAACTGGCTTTCCTTCCCTTCGGTAGCATCTGAGACAACTGCTAGACCCTGCCTCCAAGTTGGTGTCTTTCGATGACTTACAAACATCCGACTTATAAGAGTGTTTGTCGATTATGTAATGACCTGAGGAATTCTTGGTGATGTCTACTTGTAAGCCGTAAACTTGTGAAAGGAAGCCTGTTGTTCAGTGGATTGTGCAGTCTCCGTTAACTTATTCTTTGTGTTCTGCTGAGAGTCAGTTACTGTGGGGTAGAGCTCCTGTTTAGGAGAAAGAAATCAAGCATGGGATTTGGTGTTGGCCCTGTTGAGGTGCTACCCAGCTCTCTGCTCAGAGACTTCAGCTCATAGGTAACTTACAGATGCTCTGACAGGGACTAAGATGGCGCCACAGGCAGGTTAGGCTTAAGAATAATAGCTAGCTGTTCACTGCAGTAGGGAAAGCAACAAAGTGCATTTGCATACTCCCAAGAACTAAGCTATCCTCTAGGAAGGAGCTTCATTCACTTTTGTTTTCTTCGGGCTTTCTGAAATTAATTATTGACCATGAGACAGTTAAAGAACACTGCTTGATTTCCATTTTCCCTCTTGGAAAAGCCATAGGAACAAGTGATGGTGATTTTACCATCTGTTGCCTTTTTCAGAAATATCACTAAGTCACCAACTTACCTACCCACACGATCCGAATGGATGCCATTGAACCCTGCAGCTTTGGAAAACACTTCCCGTTCTGCAGGGTATTCCAAGCACAGTGACAATTTCTATTTTTCTAAATCGGGTCTCTAACATTGGTCTTTAAGGAGATGGGAGCAGTTCTTTTTGGTTTTCTGGAAGGACGTGCATTCTGGAGAGAAGATCTGCAGAGCCACTGATTTACTTGGCAAACAAAAAATAAGCATGGAGAGTTGACTGTGTTCTGAACAGCCGTGTGACTGCCAAATGGCAGGGACTGCCCTGTAAACTGAGACAGTGTTAGAGCTATGTCCCCTCCCTTTTGCCTCTGTGACTCTCAATGTATCCTTCTAAGTGCACATAGTTTTGAAGAACCAAAAGAAAGCTTGTTCATATCCCATTTTTCAATTTCCAGCATGCATTTCATCTTAACAAAACCTTCATCACCTTTTGGCTATTTGTCTGGGTAGTCACATCTCGGTTATCCACCTGCTTAAATGGCTTGTCGATTTTTAATGTGCTCGCTCATACATTAGCTCTTAACACCTCTCTGTACTTAATAAAGATTCCATTAAGTATTTCTCTACATATTTAAATCCTCCATGCCATACCACTGAAAACATCACTCTAATTATTTCAAGTAGAAAAAAAAAATGTTTCATGTAAGAGAATTAAGATGTCATAAAAATTGGAAGCACCAGAAGAAAAGGATCCCAGCTGGGATTCCAGATGCAACCCTGAACCAAATGAAATTAATGAGCAGAAACTTTGCTCTCTGGAGGGGGGTATTGGTTTGTTGGTTGTTTGTTTGTTTGTTTGGTTGGTTGGTTGGTTGGTTGGTTGGTTGGTTTTTGAGACAAGGTCTCACCGGGACTTTTGGAGCTCACTATGTAGAAAAGACTGGCTTCGAACTCATAGAGATCCACCCGCCTTGGCCTTCTAAGTATTTCTAAGTTAAAGATTCTAGGTTAAAGAATCTTCACTTTTATGTGAATAATTCTGTGAGTTTTGACAAATCTCTATTGCTGTATCACTGCACACCATTGCTTCCAAAAATCTCTCACTCCCAAGCACCCACCCTCCCCTGCTTCTTGCCTTCTCTCCTCCCAAGTACCCAATGACTTTCTTACAGTTCTTGCCCATTCTAGGACTTATATGGATTGAGGCATACAGTACATGATCCTCTGTGTGACTTCTTTCTGTCAAATGGTGTTTGAGAAATTCTTTATGAGCATGTCGTACTTTGCTTATTAACCACTTTATGGGGGCTTCAGAATACTTGCTCTCCAATTATTAGGACTAGAATTAAGATCCTAGTACCAATACATAAAGCCAAATATCCCAGCAATGTCTATACCCAGAGCCCAAGTTCGGTAGAGGCAGGAGGATCACTAGGCCTTCTGGCTTTCAACCTAGCTGAGAAAAAGCCTTTAAGGGAACAGGAAGATAGGTGAAGGCTCTGTCCATAACACTGATAGGAAAGTGCAGACTGTGCAGAGCAGCTGCAGTCTCTTACACATTCAAGCCCAGACTCAGAAGGGTATCCTGCCTCAAAAGAAATAGGCAGAGAGTAACGGAAACTAGCACCAGCTTCTGGCCTCAGTGTACATTCACAGTCATGCACACTCACGCAAGCGTGCACATACACTTACACACAGACAACAAATAAAATAAATAAATCAGCCAGTTGGTGGTCATTGAAACTTATATTTTTTTTAAAGAAAATTTTAATGTGTGTTTATGTGTGTGTGCCTGCATCTATGAGTTTACATTCACTACATGCCGGTAGACGCCTTTAGAGGCCAGATGAGGACATCAGATCCCCTGGAACTGGAGTTCCAGGCATATGGTGTGAGGGGCCTAACTCGGGTCCAGCCCTTTTGCAGGTTTTCACAGTTGCAAACATCCATGTGGAGTTCTTTCCCTGGGCTTATGTTTTCACTTCAGTTGAATAAATATTTAGAAAAAAAAAAAAGATTGTTGGGATTTATGTAAGGTGTTCTTTGCACTTTATTGGAACTCTAAAGCTGTTTTCCAGCATTTGGGTGCCATTTTTACATTCCAAGCCCCACTGTAAGAGACTGCAGTTGCTCTGCGCAGTCAGCACTTTCGTATCAGTCTTATGGACAGAGCCTTTGCCCGTCTTCCTGCTCCCTACATGGCCAGCTAGCCCTTCCAATGTGCTACATGGCTAGCCCTAGACCTGCTTCTTTGTTGTGGAACAATGATGCTTCGCAGGGGTCTGATCATTGGTGATCTTCAAGATAAAGACAAGTTAGAGGGTGAAGTACAAAGATGATGCATTTGGCTCCAGCCTCAGCAGATTTTAATTAATACACACACACACACAAAAAAAAAAAAAAAAATCTTGTGGTTTTTTCAGGCTATTTGATCACTCTATGGAAGGGTTTAAGAACTGGGAGTTCATGACTATTCATTGCTGGGGAGAACGGGCGGCTGGTGACTGGATCCTTGAAGTGTATGATACTCCATCTCAGCTGAGGAACTTCAAGACCCCAGGTGAGACATCATTTCAGGTAAACCCATTTGTGTTGGAGAAGAAAATGGCGAACACTATTCGAGCCAAAGAATGTTCCACGGTTGTCTTACTCTGGTTGGTACTGTTATAACAACAATCTGACGCTGTTACTTCATAAAGAAAGAAAAAAAAAAAAGGTTGATTTGCATCATCATTCGGGAGGCTCGTTTTGCAGCCCGCTCTCTCCAGAACTACTTCGTTCCTGCAGGATCCACTTTATCATTGATGGAGTTGGAGCCCTGCAGCCTAACTACCTTCTGCCTCATAAAGGTTTTACTACCCCGACTGCGCTGTGTGCACAACAGGCCTTCAGCACGTAAACCCCTGAGGGACAAGTCACAGCCACTTCCTGACAGCACTTCTCTCTCAGCATCACCATGACGTGTGTGGCTCTTTTCATGCAGACGTAGGATTAGCTGCACACCTTCCAGTCCTCAAGATAGGGCAGGAAATGGAATAATTTTAAAACGTAAAATAAAGAGTAAGCATTTCTGTATAAATAGAAGACAAAACCTGCAGCACTGCACCTGGCCCACTCTCTGTAGTTTGTGAAAAGCAAATCTTGTTTGATTGCAGTGCTCTAAACTGCAATGTAGGCATGTTAATTCCCAAAAAGAGATAGGTTTCCTTAACTGCTTTTTTTTTTTTTACTTGCTTGCTTGCTTGCTTGTTTGTTTCTCAAATTTTAATTTTCAGTTCAAACAAGACAGTGAGCTTAGGCTGAACTGACTAATCCAGTTACTGCCAAAGAGGGGGAAAAATGATGGTATTCTGTCCTGCATGAGCCCAAGAACCAAGGAAAAATTGAACTCTTTATATATAGTATGAAAATTATGGTAACAGGGATCTTTTCAGGCCCTCTAAGATTCCATAGCTTACCATATCAGTTGAGCCCTCTTCATGCCAGTCTACAAAGCTTGTTTGTCATAGAATAAGGGAATGCACATACAGTAGGAGATTGCATTGCCCCCGATAGGACCCTGAGGAGTCCCTGACTCCAAAATGAGTAAAGATAAGTGTGCAGCTTCCCACCATCCACAGACCCATCTTTAGCTGTCAGTAACCCCCTCCTTGGTGCTCTATCCATTTGCAGAAGGCCCAGACCAGAGAGACAATTTAGAACTTACATGCAACTCCAGCCATTCATAGACTAAGAACAGGATCAGCCAGACATTCCATAAGTGTAATCCACATTGAGTGAGCTTCATAAAGCAAGGTGGTGCTCAGGAGAATTTGGGGATGAAACTCGGGTTCACCGGCACTTTGCCTGCCTGACAAGGAAGGTTCTTCTTCCTCAGAGATCCATTATTTGACCCTTATGTTTCGGATATCTTTCTCCTCGATTGTTTGGTGTATACAGTATTACTGCCATGTAGTATCAAAGGCCCCATAATCAGGGAGGCCAAAACTGATGGCGCATCCAGGTATGAGGCTAGAGAGATGGCTTAGCATTTAAGAGTGCCATGATACAGTCACAAGGACCTGGCTTTAGATCCCAACACCCACAGAGCAAGCTGGATATCCTGACGCATACACTGTAACCTCAGGAATATGCCTGTAATCCCAACTCCAAGGAGGAGCAGAGACAGGAAGACTGTTGGAGTTTGATGACTGAGTAAACATTTTCCCTGAGTTCAAGGAGAAAAACCAGCCCCCAAGGAATAAATGCAGTGATAGATGAGAACACACAGCACCCTCTACTGGCGACTGCTGATACCTACATACAGGTGCACACACACAAGTAAATAAAATAATTTTAAGTTTCGTTAAAAAAAAATGAGTATGTCCACCTCACCCTCAGCATGCTATTTGAATATATGAGTGGCCAAAGTTTTATCCAGAAATCAAATGTTTGTTCCACAAACACAAGGTTGCTAGTGAAGCCAGACCCCAAACGACAGTTTCTAGACACTTACACTTTTTCCTAATCCACTAGGTTCCTAGAGCCCTCTCTTCCTTTATTCCTCCTAGTCGGTGCCTCTGCCCTGGGACATGTGAAGTTTAGAAGTGAAAATTGCATGGTGAATGGGGTGCTTCCACAACTCACTTCAGCTCCAGCTGATCCATCAGTAGGTGTCACTGTAGGCCCCTAAGTGTCAAGGGATTCTATAGAAACAAATGTGGGCCATTTGGCAATGCACAGAGAAGTGTGGGTACAGAGCTCTCTATAGAGAATGTCAGACCATTTTAAACTAAACAAAACTACCTCTGTGTTTTATCATCACCCGAGGGCTCTCAGTCCAGGCTCTCATTTAGGCAGTCACTACAAGCAAGAGTCCGGGTGGAGAATGCAAGCCCTTCTGCCCTCAGCGAGTTAAGAGTCTTCTCAGAGCCTCCTATGGCATCTGTGTTAAAAGGTCGGCAGTAGCTTCGACCCATTTTAGCTCCTCCTTCCACAGTTGGCGCTCCAGTTCTGAGTGCTGCATTTGTTCCATATCCACAGATTCAGCCAAACCTATATCAATGATATTTGGGAAAGATTGCATTTGTTGCACTTGCGCTGGCTTTTAATTCCCTAAGCAATACAGTATGGTGATGATTTTCATTTTATTTGGTAATATGAGTAACCCAGAGGTGATTTGAAGTATACAGGTAGATATCTAAGATTCTATACAAAGGCTGTGTCATTTTTATAAGGGAATTGAGCACCTATTGAATTTCCTATTCATAGATGTTGGAACCAACCCCTCACAGATGTTGGAGGACAACTGTATTATTTAAACATTCACTTTAACCATAGTCAATCCCAAATGGCTAGACATATTCTTTTTATACCCTATTGCTCTAATAAAAACATATAGACTTGTATATCCTTCCTACCATTCTCTTATCTTAAAGTTAGCCATACCTTTGATGAGGGGCCTTTCCATTTACAAGTGTATTTGCCTATAATTATATCCTTGTTTCTATCACACAAAGTCCCGTGGTAGGTTTCTCTGTGAATGGTGAAGTATTTCTCTAGCTGATGAAGTTTTTGTTGGATGTGTAAATTTTTCCCAGCTGAGTTTGGTGCTAGAATCAAACCAAATAGATTCTAGAGGTTCCTGGTGCCACACTAAGTTTAGAATTGTTTATTTTCCCTCCATTTAAAAAATAAACGAATATTAAGTGCTTAGCTTAGTGTGGCATGTTCCTGTAATCCCAGCACTCAGGGGCTGCTGTAGCAGGATTGTAGCAAGATCAAGCCTATCCTAGACTATGGAGTGCAGCTCTGCCTCAGAGAAAAGAGAGGGGAGGGAGGAGAGGAGGAGAACTGCAGACTACAGCATGTTGAGATATCCTTATAGTAGTCCCCAGACAAGGGATACTCACCTTTGAGTCAACACTCTGAAACAGTTCCTGAGGTAAATTTTTAGATTGAAAGGTTTGTGGGTGGTAGAGAAATGAGATGACCTGGCATCCTTGTGTTGGGTATTCAGTTAGCATTCTAGCAGTTGTCCTGTGGAAAGGAAGACTTCTCCTCGAAGACATCAAAAAATTCCTCAGGTCCAGTGGCCCTTCTCTTCCCACCACTCTTCATGCATGCCACTTAAAATTCCGACACAAGTAGCCTTCCGCTTGTGAAAAAGTATCCAAGAGCAAACTACATACAAACCAACTATCCTAGCTCAACACATCCCAAACACTGAGTGACCCAAAACACTGAGTGCATGACAGAATTATCAGACTCATGGTGGCTCAGCTGGAAAGCATTGGATTTGGGGCTGGCAAGAGGGCTCAGTAGGTAACGGTGTTTGCTACCAAGACTGACTACCTGAGTTCAACCCTTGAGCCCCGAGGAGGAAAGGAAAGACCTGTCTCCCACAAAGTGGCCTTTGACCTTCACATGTGCCCCACACATACATTCATAGTCAATTAATTGATGAAACAGATTTTTTTTTTTTTGTTTTAAGATTATTTGGCTTAAAGACATAAATTAAATGCATTTAGGTTATTTTTCCCCAAGTTAATAATGTGTGGCTTTTCCTTCAGGAAGGTGAAGAATGGTCCACTCAGTCCGAGACGATGCACCTACAATAGGACAAAGAAACAATTCCACCCAGGTCTAGCTTGGTGAACCATGGAGTTTATTAGGGCACCTTACAGGAGCATGAGTAAGGGGTTACCATATTGTCTAGGCAAACGTTCTGCAGTGACGTGCTTATTATCCATGGCCATGGATTTATGTCTCAGCAACGTCTTGAGGACCTAAATATTTTTAGTTAATTTTAGTTTATTTATATTTAAATAGCTAAGCATATCTCGTGGCTGTCACATCAGACAGCACTATCGTTAGAATCCTATGCATACAAATATTGAATACTGATTCTGGAATTAGGTGGCACAAAGAATTGTTTTCCTCTTACATCAGACCATATCAAAAACATCTATAAAGCTCAGGTAAGACCTTGGTACCTAGAACAACCAAGCCTAAGGCAGACAGCTAGAATTCTGAGTATCCCTAATTTGCAGTTTGTCTCTTGGCCCTGTGACCTGAAGTGTGTTTGTTCCACAGTCGTCCTGCTGTGGGTGCTCAGTGAACGTGTGGCGTGTGAACTGGGAAGCCCTTACGTCTGCAGATGGTGGGAGTGTGCGCGGCCCACCCTGCATCAGTACGGTTCCTGTCAATCTTCCCACTGGCCCACAGTCGCTTCTTCCTGTTGAGACAGACCGGCCTCAAGAAGCTAAATGGCTATGGCAAATCACCTGGTCATGCTCTCTATTTGTTACTGTTTCCCAAGGTAAATTGAAAGAATGGTCCTTGGTCCTCTATGGCACATCCGTACAGCCATACTCCCCAACCAACGAGTTCCCCAAAGTAGAACGCTTCCGCTATAGCCGAGTGGAAGACCCCACAGATGACTACGGTGCTGAAGATTATGCAGGTGGGTTGGGTGTAACCTAAGAAAGCTTGGCTGTGTTCCTGGGCATGTAGAGTAACATGACGCAATTGTTTTAACGTAATGCAGTATGCTTCAAAGATAATGGTATAATAGTTCAGCATCTATCCATAGTCTGAAATATATTCTTTCTCTCCAAATACTTGTGTTTAGATATACTTAAATAGCTATATGTATTGTCTATACAGCCCATTCTGTGACTATAGGATGATGTATTTTGTCTGTAATTTGAGATACAAATTGCTTAGATTTATTCACTATTTTAAAACAGGCTTGAAGAAACAGGTTTCCTGTCTTTGCATATACATTAATGAGGGTTCTCTGAAGGAACATAGCTTACAGAATGAAAAAAATATATATGTACATATATGTGATAGATGCAATAAATATGTGTCTAGAAAGAGGGGGAATAGGGAGAAAGAGAGAAGAACAGGGGGTTTATTAGGATAAGTCACAGACTGTGTTCCAGCTAGTCCAACAATGGCTGCCTGTGAATGGAAGATCAGTCTATGAGGCAGGAGTCTGATGTGGTCTTCAGTATAGGATGGAATCCTAAAAAGTAGGCTCCGGTGCCAGTAATGAATGGACTTGCCAGACAGAGCAGGAGCAAGCAGGCAAAGAGCAAGCTCCTTTCTTCCGTGTCCTTTATGTAGGCAACTGAAGAGAGGTTCCCTCTTCCCAGATGACTCTGCCTGTGTCAAGTTGACAAAAATAAAACAAAATGACTAGCCCCTCCTCCTCCTTTCTCCTCTCTTCTCCTGTGCTGGGGGCCGCACATTCTGACCATGAACTCTACCTTCAACCCCTGTGGTCTGTGTTAATATTTGTCAAATATCTCCTTTTATGCTACTTTTATAGAGATCTTTGTCCTCCTGTTCTTCCTATGAAATTTTTAATGACTACAGTTACAATTTGGCTTCCCATTTGAACTTAATTGGAATTTACACACCGTCTCAAGAGGAGACGTGTTTTTGTATTAGTCTTTCCATATGAAACAGAATATGCCCCATTTTACTGAAAATGTTTGACTTGGTATAATTTTCTTCTTATTGTTATACTTAGTTATTTGGGGTCTTGTTGCCCTTGTCATGGAAAATATCCCATACGGTCCCACTATATATACTAATATTTAGGAAGTCTGTTGCCCTACTGCATTTTTATCATATCTAAGCATGTTACCCACTTTTCTCTTTAATTTATATGTTTTAAAGTCAATCTTCTAAATTTTTTTTATTTCGAAATCCTCTCTTGTTGCATTGGCAATTGGTTCTAGGGGCATCTTGCCCTTTTGACATGATATATAACATCATTTGCCAAAGCTTTGGAATATGAAGTGTTTATAAATAGAAATGTAATGTACTTTAAACAAGAAATATTTTGATCCTGTAGTTCAGAGATTCTTCTTCTGATACTGAGATAAATGCATTTAATTAGCCACTTGATCAGAATATCTTAAATGTTTAGTAGGTTCTTTTATTGTAAATAGGTAGTAGACTGCAGTCAGTAACACATGCTTGGATAATTAAGACCAATGAGCTCACCAGAACTAGATTGTCTCAGATTTCTTTCTTATCTTGTTTACTTTGAGTTTCTCATGTTACTGTTTGTATTAAAACTAGAAACCATTTTATCTTCTATGGCAGGAGAAAATATATCCAAAATCATAAATGGAACACAAGCGTAAATAAGCCATTACTCTTTCTTGTGTCACAGTTTTGACAATTTCAAATTCAAATCTGGTAATGTTAAAATTCTAAACACAATAACACTTCCTTGTCTCTTTTCTGATTACATTTTAAAAACATTGATGTTGACACTTGTAAAAGAACAAAGACAGTTTTATGTCACCATTATCCTGAAATTCACAATGCCAGAATGCATCCGGGACAACTTAAGATTGTAAAATAAAAAACGTAGAATGTACGTGCCATACAGAACCCTTTGGCACATATCACAAATACATATTTGTAGGTTTTTTTTTAATTTATAAAATATCATCTAGTGAAGATTTAGGGCTTAGTTATGACTCCTATTTGCTGTGCGTGGGTGGGTGCATGCATGCTTGCGTGAGTGCGTGGCCAGTCTGACCTGAGGCACAGCTGACTGTTTCACTGAATCGCAAAGACTGCAATACCCACAGCTGCCTTAACTCACACAACACAGATGTCCCTTTCCCGGTATACAGCGGTAGATGGCTGAACTGTCCCAGATTGTACTAGCTGTGAAATTTAATTTGGAAATCAATTTAAGGTTCTTGGGGAGAGTGAAATAAACAGTGTTGTCAGATGACTTTTGCAATTAATCAGGAATGCCTTCAAGCTCTCCGAATTTTAAAATCACTTATTCCATTCAGACCATGAGGACATTTCAGATACATGATTTACTTCCCTTAAACAAATCTGGACCAGGCCTGGATGTTTCTTGATCCCAGCTTTACAAGCCATGGGATGCTGGGCAAGCCAGTGTAACTCTGTGAAAATCAGGTTCTCACGGGTACCTACTAGATCTTTTTCATGTCCTCCTACCTGAGTTCTGGCAGTTTATGTTTGTATGATTCAATAATTATAGAACCTAGTTCTGTAATGACTGAAAGAGACCTTGGGAAATTTAGCAGTAAATTCTTTTGATTAAAGCAGGTAGTATTAAAGCACTTCTGATTTCTTTTACCTACATTTTTCATATTTCAGGAAATTTTTATTGCTTTTTAAAATCACAAGAATTTCTGTTGGGAAATTCTTAAAAACTATGAGTTCAAATATCTTAAAAGTTGGAAATCAAGAAGAAAGAAGTGGAAGCATCACTGAATTACCCATGCCACTAGATCCCTTGGCATCAGTCACACAGCACAACCCACCCCTCTCCTGATTTTTGCTTTCTATGAATTGTGTCTTAAATAATACCAAAGAATGTGTAATTTCTCATATAATACCATAGAAAAGAGAACTTAGGAACCTTCATCCCAAATGTAGACTTCTTTAATCTAATTTGCAGTTTTGAATTTATGTCAGTTCTTTTGCTAACTGCCTGTTGACCTTTGGATAAGACCCAGATTTAAATCTATCTGTGCCTGAAAGAGTATGGACACCAGAGGAGAGAGAAAACAGGGAATAGGACAGGAGCCTACCACAGAGGGCCTCTGGAAGGCTCTACCCTGCAGGGTATCAAAGCAGATACTGAGACTTATGGCCAACCCTTGGGCAGAGTGCAGGGAATCTTATGAAAGAAGTGAGAAATAGTAAGACCTGGAGAGGACAGGAGCTCCACAAGGAGAGCAACAGAACCAAAAAATCTGGGCACAGGAGTCTTTTCTGAGACAGATACTCCAACCAAGGACCATGCATGGAGATAACCTAGAACCCCTGCACAGATGTAGCCCATGGCAGTTCAGTGTCCAAGTGGGTTCCATAGTAATGGAAACAGGGACTGTCTCTGACATGAACTGATTGCACTGCTCTTTGATCACCTCCTCCTGAGGGGGGAGCAGCCTTACCAGGCAAGACAATGCAGCCACTCCTGATGAGACCTGATAAACTAGGATCAGAAGGAAGGGGAGGAAGACCTCCTGTATCACTGGACTGGGGGAGGGGCATGGGTGGAGAAGGGGGAGGGGATTAAGGGGAGGAGGGAGGGAGCTACAGGGAGGATGCTACAGGGAGGATACAAAGTGAATAAATTATAATTAATAAAAATTAAAAAAGATGTTATTGAATTAAATTATGTAACAACTTTTAAAAAATCTGCCTGAATGGCCTGTTTTGTAATCCAAGACTAAAGGCTGATAAGTTTGTGCCATATGCCACAATGATATTTCATGATGGCCGTAGCATTTCAGAGACACTTAGTGGCTTTAATGCTCTTAGATAAGACTTGGCTCTTGGTGTTGAATAATAAAGTTTTATTTCTTTTTGTCAACAATGTACTTCTTATTTTTCAGCAAATACCATATGTTCGTTGTTATATATAACTACACTCATTTTTTTCTTCATTTGCTACTGTGATGCTGTTCATTTGAATCTCAAATGCTATTGTCACTCACGTGGCCCCAAGGCTACAATACATGTTCTGAAGACCATGTTATGCCTATAACTTAGATTCTTTTTATTTTTATTTACTTTATATCCTGATAGGAGCCCACTATCTTGTTTCTTCCTTGTCCTACCCTCTCTCTCTCTTCCCCCCATTCCTGTCCCCTAGTCCTCAAAAAGAGGGAGCCCTCCTCGCCAAGCCTATCAAGTCTCATCAGGACTGCCTGCATCCTCTTCCTCTGTGGCCTGGGAAGGCCATCCCACCACGGGGAAGTGATCAAAAAGCAGACAACAGAGTCCCTGCTCCCCTTACCAGGGAACCCACATGCAGACTGAAATTCTTGACTCTTCAGCAATTCAGGTTTTCCCTTCGATCAAGAGCTCAGACTTGAGCTCATAGCTACATTGACTGTCTCCAAGAAATTAACACTGCATGGTGGCAAACAGCTAAAATGTTTTATTCTATTTCAACTTCAAGGTAAAATTGACTTACTAGTTTCATTTTTTTCCCCAACGTCTAATCTGTTCTTGAAAGGTCCCTGTGACCCTGAATGCAGCGAGGTTGGTTGTGATGGACCAGGACCAGACCACTGCAGTGACTGTTTACACTACTACTATAAGCTGAAAAACAACACCAGGTAAAAGTCATGTTCTCCCATGTTCCTTACAGCTTGGCTCAAGTGTTCCCCTATCAAGCTCTAAGATCCTGCTGCAGGCCCATGACAGTCCTGTCATTCACAAGGGCAAAAACCCTACCGATTTACACAGTGAAAAAGTGGCACGTGTCCGTTACTTTTCCCATCTCTGTGACAAAGCTTCTGACAAAAGCAACCTAAGGAAGAAAAGGTTGTTTTGTTCACGGTGTGAGGAAATGCAGGCCATCCTGGCATGGAAAGCATGGTGGCTGGGTCAAAGGGGAGCTGGCCACATTGTGACCATAGGTTCAAAACAGAGCAGTGAATGCTGGTGCTCAGGTGGCTTTTTGCTTTTCCCCCTTTTTTATAATCTTGCCTATATTCAGAGTGGATCTTCCTTCATAGGTTAAACCGCCCTGTATATACTTTTCCAGACACCATCCAGAGGTAACTCAAAGTCTCTCCAGGTTAATGATGGTGTCTACCCCTGGTCAACTCAACACTAAGGCATATCACAGTCCTCAAAGGCCTAAAGTCTCTTTAGATGTTTCTGCATACTTACTCTTAACTGTGATCCCTTATGAAAACCAGGCTCCATACTTCCAATATATGATGGCATACAATGCGCACTCTATTTTAGAATGGAAGAGTTAGGGTGTAGCAGAGAAAGGTCAGACCAAAGCAAGATCAAAGCCCAATAGGACAAATATCAAATCTTACAGCTCTGTCTGGTGCCTGGATCCCTTGGCACAATCTCAGCTCCAACAGTCTTCTTGGTGACGCCAACCCCTCCTCTTCTGCCACCCTCAATACAAATTCCCCATCTCATAGACTGGCTCTATTCATTGCCTAAAGCTTTCTTTCATGAACATCCCATAGTCCTGGCATCTCCAGCACCCTCGGCTCTCCGTTGAAGCTTAGGCTTTACTTTCCCAGTTTGACACCGTACCTCTTAGAGCCTCCTTGCAGAGAACCTGACATTATTTCACACTGACTGTCCCCAGCGTCTTTCTGGAACCTTGGTGCAAACCTCCATGATATTGTAAAGCTTGCCAAAAAAAACCCTGTGCACGATGCTGTCAAGCTGTGCTGTGAATTTGAAATGTAGTTTGATCCCATTTGCCACAGTTATAGTGGCCAGTGCCCTGGCAGTTCGGCATAGATGAAAACAGTTCCCTAAGCCGTTGTTTTCCGCAGGGAACCATGTCCACAGCAGTCCCAGTTCAGTCTGTCTCCTTTCAAATGGATTTGCATTTTCAGGAATGAGCATGGATTCTTTCTCTTATGTCCCCTTTCATGTCGCCCTAATGAGAAGTGTAAGGTTTGTCTTTCAGGACAGAGATCTCCCAAGCAGTGGCACCTCTGTCCTCAGCTGTGGTTTTTAACTCTCTTCCTCTGCTTTCCTCACCCAGGCACATTGTTCACATCTTTTAAGCTCTCTCAACATAGATCTGACTAAGAGTAGTAAGCAGTAACCATATCACAGCACGGACATTAGGGTGACTTATAGTTTTCTCCACCAGACAGCTAGAATGTTTTAAGTGAGCCCCAACTTCAATGTTCAATACACGGGCAGAATGCAATGTAAAGGCCCTCTAGCAGAGGTCACCACAGGGTCCTCAGTCCCCTCTGATCACCCAGAACCTGGCCTCCATTGTCTGTATTTCTCTCAGCATTCTGATCTGGTAGATGCCTGAGGGGGTAGCTCCTCAAGCCCTCCCTGGAACATCTCAGTACATCTGTAGCCTGAAGTTCTAAATGCTCAAATACTTCCGTACTCCTCTTATAGTCCTAAATACTGCATGGTCAGGTTTGTAACAGCAAATGACCCCACTCATAATTCCAATTTATTCAGTCTGGGACCCAAGCCCATGGCATGGTGCTGCCCACATTTAGGGTGGGTCTTCAGTTCAGTCTCTGAAGAATATCCCCAAAGATATATCTGCAGGTATATCTCCTAGGCGATTCCAAATCAAGTCAGGATAATGCAGAACATATGCAACGTGACTGAGAATGCTTTCTCCCGTTCGGAGGAATGGTGAGATGAGACCAGCTATGCACGTAGCATGCTGGACTTCTTTAGCTCTTTCTTTTCCCAGTTAGCAAGTAAAAATTACATGTATTTATGGAATGCCACATGGTGTTGAGTGTCGTACATTGTAGGGTGGCTAAAACTACTTACTATCTATATTCTCAAACATACTTAACTGTTTTTTGTAATGTCAACATTTTCAGTTGACTTTTTAAAGCAATTTGAAAGTATACAGCCTGTTGCTATTAACTCTAGCCACCATGATGTACAATATATTTGTTGCACTTAATCATCCTGACTGAAGTTATGCGTCCTTTTTCAGTCCATTAGCATTTGATAAGTTGGTTTTGTTTATTCTTCCTGAATATGCCAGTGCCTGGGCCAGACATACACTTTCTTCTGACCTTCCCCAACATACCAGACCATTCATGCTGGCCTCTGTTCCTACTCTTCCACTTTACACCCTGAGATAGTGCCTGCTTTGATTAGACACTGGCTTCTGTCTGGCTATGCCCATATGATCCAGTGGGTCCAAGCTACAGGCCAGTGCTTGCCCAGCAAAGCGTAGCCGGCCAACCCCATGTCCCTCCAGCCCAGCGCTCCTTCTCCATCCTCCTCCTGGCAAATCTGTGTTCTAGGAACAGCGCTCAGGCACCTGTGCAGACACAGCCACGCCCAAATTCCTGTTGGAATACTTGCTAAAAGTTAAATGCCTCAGTAGATAGGTTCTCAGCTGACTCAACGCTGGTATTATCTATTGCATTAACCAAAATGCCTGGTGTTTAATTGGTGCTCAAAACATATTTAAAGAGGTAAAGCCCTTTCTTCAGTTGTAGACAATTAAGGAAGTTGGCTTCTTTTTTTTTTTTAATAAAAAGGGAAGTTTCAACCGGGCAGTGGTGGCACATATCTTTAATCCCAGCACCCAAGAGGCAGAGGCAGGTGGATCTCTGAGTTCAAGGCCAGCCTGGTCTACAAAGTGAGTTGAGGGCTACACAGAGAAAGCCTATCTTGAAAAAAACAAAGAGGTAAAAAAGTTTCTGCTGAGCAAAATTTATATATATATATATATATATATATATATATATATATATATATATATATATATATATATATATAATTGTGTGTATATATACATATATACACATATATTATATATGCATATATATTCATTTAAATAAGAACACGCCATATCTACCCACGTGTACACACAATCAACACCGCAAGCTAGCTCTTGATCTGATCTTTCTCTGCTACACCCCAATTCTTCACAGACAATGAAAGGCCTGCTAAGGATGTGGCACTGTCCGTGATACTCCTCCAACTTCCTACACAGGAGGAAGCTTAACCAGACAGATGTGGTCCTTTAGACTCGGTGTTGGCATCCCAGTTGAAAACTAACCTTAACGCCACAGTCAGCTTTTCTGCAAGAATCCTAAAGTCTGAGTGCTCATACATCAGTAACCATTTCTCTTAACATCCCGCAATGCAGAATCTGTGTCTCCAGCTGCCCTCCTGGCCACTACCATGCTGACAAGAAGAGGTGCCGGAAGTGTGCGCCCAACTGTGAGTCCTGCTTTGGCAGCCATGGTGATCAGTGCCTATCTTGTAAATATGGCTACTTCCTGAACGAAGAAACCAGCAGCTGCGTTACTCAGTGTCCTGATGGCACATACCAGGATACCAGTGAGTTGTTTTCAAATATTTGAGGGTTTTAAAGGGATACAGGTTTTCGACTGAGTAACTCCATGCACGAAATCTGGGCTCTGCTTAGTATCCAATAGAACCTGGCCAATTCATTGAAGAGATATTTCAGAGGGGTTATGTAGAGGTGCCTGTAACTACCTGCAGCAGAAGACCCTCACGGTCCCTCCCACCACAAGGATTTGCTAGTAGACTTACAATGGGGGGGACTATAATTGTGGGTGGGATTTATTAAAGCAGAAGCATGAAAAGTCAACTCAGGGAAGGGAAGCAGGGTAGTCTAGAGGTCTCTAGAACCATGCATCCGAGAGTGCCCACTTGAGACACATTGAGTTTCCCAGCGATGGGTTGTGATAACATGTGTTAAATACTATATACACGGAAACTGCAGGAGAGACTCCATGTCCATGGCTGTCACTAGGAGCTGGTCAGGTAGTCACTACCTTTCTGGCACCCACCGTAAACCATGCTGCTTGTATAGTTTTTGCAGTGCTAGCTAGTCTCACCAGAGAAATGGGAACCCTCCCTAAATCCTAAGTTCCCAAGGACCAGCTGTGGGCCAGCCTGATAAGGAGGATAGCAATGAGACCTACTCACTACTGCACATTAACCAAACAGCCTTCTGGAAAGGTTAAAAAAAAAACTGGCTGTCCTATAAATGTGAAATAAACATGTGTCAGAGACATTCTACTCATTAGTAAGCTATCTGACGTAGTAATTAATGAAACAAGCAAGAGAAGAATGGGTTTATGATAATCAAGTACCGTAGCCAGTGAGATGGCTCCATGGTGAGGATTGTGGGTGAGAGGGTAAGGTCCTCCAGGGGACCTGAATGACATTCACAGCACACAACCACCTGTAACCCCAATGTCAGGGATCCAGTATCCTTTTCTGGCTTGGGGATACCTGCATTCCAAGCATGTACTGACACACAGATAGACACATAATTTGAAAGACAAACAATAAGGAAGCTAGGAAGGAAGGAAATAAAAGAAAGGATGAATGGAAAAGAAAAAAGGAAAGTCCTATTGAGTTAGAGGGGAAAGTTAGACATGGCAATACTGTAGGCATAGTTAGAGGGTATTTATCTCTTACTGTCAGAACATTATCACTTTACCAAACAGCAATCCATACATTCATGTGTAACTTCTCAGACTGCCCAATATTGATGTAATTAACAAGTAAGCACGATACAAGGTACTTGATCTTTGGTCAGACAGTGCTTCAGTATGGCCCTCCCAGGGTTGTGGATATCTCTGGCTTTATTTCTTAGTTCCAGATAATTTGTCTCACACCACAGCCTCTGCTACCACTGAAATGTCACATTGCTGCACAGCCTTGAGAAGTTAGCTCTTTAAAGATCAAACAGAAAAAGTCTTGCCTCTTAAGAATTCGAATTCTCAGGCAGCAAGATGGTGCATGCCATCTTCAGAGTGGAACAAGATTAGACTTCCAAAGATTGTCCTTGACCTCCACGGGTGCACCTACACTCACACACCACACACACACACACACACACACACACACACACACACTAATAATAATAATTATTATTATTATTACTCTAACAATTGTTTAAATAAGTGAACTTCCTTATTCAAAAGTAGACATTTCCTTAGGCAGATTAGACCTTCATTCCACCCTTTGGAGTAATAAATACAGATTCTACTGAAGTTCTTATTTGCCTCAAAATTTGAAACATGAGTTTCACCTTGATAGGGAAAGAAAAATTTAGAAGATAAGAAGGGCCATAAGAGATCAATAAAAATGCGCAGTATTTCTTAGGGAACCTGGCATATACTAAGTGTGTGCTCCATCGCTGATCACCCAGCAGCCTGTTTCTTTCTAAAGAACCAAGGAGTGGACACTTGAGAAGCTGTCCAGTTATTTCAGCCACCGTATAGCACTGGTCCAAGTGCTCACTGTATCTCTCCTATTGCCTTTGTTATAGTTTCCTCCCTCTACTGAGCACAATGAGTAGGTTTGACCGTGGCTACTGATAATTACTAAGGACACGTTCCCAGTGGTTTATAGTTTATCTTTTCCCCCTGAATAATTCCATTAAGTTGCCAAGATAAGCTAAAAGGTAGAGTTCATGCTAACCTTCAATCAAGAGGTCAGAGTTTAGAGACACTCATCTTGCCCAATAGGATAGCTGAAAGCATAATGCAAATCCCGGGCCTGTGACTTTGGGTCCAAGGCCAGAACCTGTCTTCTTAATCTTGCAGTGAGGGCTGCAGTGTGAAGCTAGAACACTGTCAAGGGCTTTGTATTTCTTGCTGAAGGATGCAGAATTCCAGTAGGTCCACATAGGAGTACATCTTCATGGAACTTTGATAAACATCCGCACTTAAAGATCAAAGAAAGGAGAAGTCTATAAACAACATTTCATTTGGTTCTGTGTGTGTGTGTGTGTGTGTGTGTGTGTTATTATCCACTGACATATAGGATCAGGTACTCAATTTCCAGGAAAAATCTGACCAAGGTAAAGTGCTTTTATTAATTAATATGCCAAATTACTACTTTATATGATAAGGCCATCATGTTTCACTGTTTTTTTGCAGTGTGGACCAGGATTTGTTATTTAATAGGAAAACTTATGGTGTATCCATTCGAACTTGTTGGAACATAATCGTTTTTACATCCGTTCCACAGCAGCTGTCAAGCACAAGATACTGTTTGAGATGGCACATGAAGCTTTTACCTTCAATGTCTGTTCCTCTAGCCACGGCTCGTCAGATGGTCCTAAAAACTTGAGGCATGCAGGTCCACCATCCATATCGACAGCATCGCCTTCGGTGCTTGCTAAGCGATAGTGTTCTTGCATCATGAGTGAGATGTTCTGCTTTAGAAGTTAGAAAGCCCTGCTTTGGAAAGAGAATTGAAAGACAGAAGAGCTATAACCCTTTCAGCGAAGTGTTTCTGTAGTCTGCCTTGTGCCACACAGGTGCATGGTGCTCCCCGGTGTGATGGTTCATGCAACCAACATGCCTGAACTTTTTAATGCAGCTTTCCAGATGAGCCCATGAGCACCGCAGAGCACGTTCATAAACACTGGAACACCACCATTCCTTTATGGCATCCAGTTGACTGACGTGTAACTGTGTTCCTTTTTTTTTTTTTTTTTTTTTTTCCTTTTTTAAACAGAGAAAAATGTTTGCGGGAAATGCAGTGAGAACTGTAAGGCATGCACTGGATTTCACAACTGCACAGAGTGCAAGGGCGGATTAAGGTAAGAGAGAGATAGGCCACAGGAGACACCAACATCCAGGGATATTTGCAGAGCAAACACAACAGAAACCATAAGAGTCAGCATGGAAACAAATAGCTATCTTCCATCTGCCCTTCATTTGACTCAAGCTGAAGCACTTCCCTGTCGATTGCATTATCTCTACAATTAGATATGGAAAAAAAAAATGGGATACCATCTTGGCTAAGGAAGGGCTGTAATCCAGATAAAGGCCCTATAAAGAGGGTGATTTGGTGGGTAGAGAGACGGTTCAGCGGTTTAAAAGCATTTGCTGTTCTTGCAGCGGACCTGGGGACCGATCCCCATAACCCACATGATGGCTCACAATTATCTGTAGCTCCAGTTCCTGGACCCCCCCCCTTTTGACATCCACAGACAAAACACTCAAACACGTGAAATAAAGAAATCTATACAAAAAAATTAAAGTGATCTCTTTAAAAGAAAGCTGATTCAGATATACATTAAAATGACCATTTGAAAAGCATCCTTTATACATTTTTGACCAGCGTGTGCTAGTCAAGAATGGCTGGACAGATAGTGCTGGCAAATGCTATTTAATCTGCCTGATTAAATTCTCAATAGTGGAAACTTATTCTCTTATCTTTATTATTTCCCCATATATACCTAGTCATTTGCTTATCTTAAGTACCTCAGGTTCGATTCCATTAGACTGTCTGTAGTATACACATAGAGTTAATGTCAGGAGATGTTTTTCCTCAGATTGATGACTTGTTCATTGCTAAAGCTGGTACTTGATAGCCTGCAAGAGAGCAATATACAGCACAATGAACATGGAGTCTCTTTCCTGAGGAAGAGGTCAAACACATCTATGCCAAGTCGCATGCTGGGTTCTGGCTTTATGTGGCGTTAGAGTTCTACAGTTCCTTTTAGGTAGTGATAGGTCATCTCTTTCATTCCATCTTTCATTAAAAGTAAAATAGTGTACTGTAGCAGTTTGCAGGTGGGTGCTCTTGACACACATCAGTATTGGAGCCTTATTTACACTCACTGATTATGTGCGTCCTTGTTCTTTATTTTCATAAGCACATTCTGTTACTCCGAGCCTTGCCTCTCAGTATCTGATAATCTTGATAAATACAAGTCTGCCCAACTACCTGATTCTTTTCAATTTTTATTTTATGTGTATGCATGTTTTTATTGTTGTGTATCTCTTAATCATGTATGTTCCTGTTGCCCATGGAGGTCAGAAAAGGGCATCCAGTACCCTGAGCCTGAAGTACAGACAGTTGTGAGCTTCCATGTGGGTGCCGGGAATCAAACCCAGGTCCTCTAGAAGAGCAGCCAGTGAGTGCTTGTAACAGCTGAGCCATCTCCCCTGCACTTAATTTGTCTTAAAAATGAAATGGTGAGGTAGAAACCTTTTTCCACTACTTATTAATTGTAATCATGGGAAAGTCACTTAACCGCTGTTGTCCTCCATTATTCTCGTTATAAAGTGGTGAGAATACTGTCTACTTTGCTGAACTAGGATAATCTGAGGACATTTATGAACTAGTTACATCTGGTACATAATTAGTTCATGGGAATAAAAGACTCCTAAACTTATTTTTTATTTCTTAGAGAACATTTTATGGAGCAAGTTAAAGCAGAACACACAGGAGAAATATGAGAGCCACGTATGTAATTTTAAATGAGCCAGGGGCCATATTAAAAGTGGTTTTTAAAAAAAGCTATAAGGGAAATGATTTTAATAGAATATTTTACCTAGCCTAATATATCCAAAATATATCATTACAATATGTGGCCAACATAAAAGAAAACTATTAGCGAGTTACTTTACATCTTTCTTGTTTTATTAAGTCTTTGAAGTGTGGTATATGTGGTCTTAACATATGTCTAAGACCCAACAATAATTTTTATGAGAAAAACACAGTATTCAACCTGTTTTTAACCTAATTGAGAGAGAAAATTTTATAAAGCTATTCTATTCCAAATGTGCTGAGAAGTTTGCCAATGACTGAACACAGACATAAATTCATTGAAATTGGATGAAAATTTAAAATTCAATTTCTTCACAGCACTAGCCTCATCTCAGGGGCTCCGTAACCAAGTGACTAGCACAGGCCTGACCCAGCTGGTTTAGGCAAAAAAAAGAATGGAGATAGTTCTGAGATGGGCTGGTGGGCCTCAGGGTGCCTGTGTTTTGGAAGCAGCCGACAGCTTCAGAGTTCAGTGACTGCTTTCTGTGCCCACCCTTCCTTCATCCGTTCCTGCACAGTGCAGCCTCTGTCTCCTGCTGAATGGAAGCCAAGCTCAGAACGCCTCTCCTTTCTTAGAGAGCCAAGGCATCTTTTCTCAAACTGTAGTACATTTTTTTGGAGTGGTCCTTATTTCATACCACAAAAGGATTTGTTTGATGCACTATGCTTTTCTCTGGGGCTGGAAGAAGGGAATGAGATCTTTGTTGGCCGCAGGCCAGCAGGCTCTGAGAATGACACGTACTCTGGGAAAAGCTGTCCTTCGTCACATAGAGGCTTTTTCCTAGGTGCTTCTTGGCTGACAGTTTGACCTCAGAAGACCTATGAATTTTAAAATAGTGGCTAAGAACAAAGCGGAGAAAATACCCTTACCTAAATACCCAGAAGAAAATGAATTAAAATGCTAACAGGACATTTATGATTCTTTTCTTCAGCTATTGTATTTTTGTACTTTCCCAGTTTCTTGAATGAGCAGAGGGTGAAGTAAATTTCAGTTTTCAAAATTAGTATAACCATATATAAAACAGACATTTAAGATATAAATTGTAGAATAATAAAGAATATATGAGAATAGAAACCACTTGACTGTGTTCCATACACACTGTCCAATCGAATCAATTTTATAACAAGACTGAACCTGCTCTCTTCCAGGTGTCCTTCAGTAATAATTTATATGAAATAACACAAATTCTATGTATGTTTTTAAGTTTAAGAATCAAGCAGTAAGCTTGGCATGGTGACATGCACCTGTGCTCCCCATACATGGGTATGGAGGCCTTAAAGTCATCCTCAGCTGCATAGCTAGGGGGTTCAAGGCCAAGGTAGGATACATGAGAGCCTGTCTCAAAAAAATAATTGATTGATTAGTTAATTAATTAAACTGTAGGTATGAAAAATATCACAGCTAACAGACATTTGAAAGAATTATTTTTTCATTCTATATTTTAGAAACCCAAAAATGTCTCATAGTAGTAGCTGGAGAAGTAGAAACTTCAGCAAATCACTTTATATTGTAGAAATACCTCCAGGGATAACTAAAAAAATATATAACGAAGAATAGTCAAAGATGTTTGCAAAGTTGTACTTTGCCTAATTACTCATTAGAGTGGCTTCAGTGAATAAACTAATAAAAAATAGCAAAGAATGCTGGAGAGATGGCTCAGTGCTTCAGAGTACATACTTCTTGTCTTGAGGACCTGAGTTCTATTCCCAGCACCCACATCAGGTAGCTCACAACCACCTGAGAAAATCAAATCTTTAGCCATTCATGGTGGTACATACCTTTAGTCCTAGCACTGGGGAGGTAGATCTCTGTGAGTTCAAGGCCTGATCCTGAGTTCAAGCCTGGTCTACAAATTGAATTCCAGGACAGGTCAGGGTTACACAGAGAAACTGTCTTGAAAAAAAACAAAACAACAACAAAAGTGACAAACAAAAAGTAGGATATTGCCAACTATAGAATTGTTTCATCTGCGTGCTTGTTTTGTTTTGTTTTGTTTTGTTTTGTTTTGTGTCTGGGTGTTTTGCCTGCATGTATGTATATACACCACGTGCACAGAATACCCACAGAAGCTGGAAGGTATCAGATCCTCTAGAACTGGAGTAACAGAACGTTGTGAGCAGTCTTGTGGCTGCCAGGAACCCAAACCAGGTCCTCTGCCAGCACAGCAAGTGCTCTTAACCACTGAGCCATCTTTCTAGCTAGCCCCTTGCCAATACTTTTTAAGACTCTGTTAGGTGATGTTAAGGTTGAAGTATGCCAGACTGTGTGACAGATTCAACACAATGTCCCATGGGCTTAGCAGCATGTGTATACCAAGAGTGGTCTAGGGCCAGTGTCCTTGTCTTGCAGAGCCACCAAATATCTCCCAGACTGTATTGGGTACATATCTAGTCTGTGCCTCACTGCCACTTTGACAACAGTCTGCTTATAGGTTGTTCATGTCTCCCAGCCTTCAGGGATCCCGCTGCTCTGTCACCTGCGAGGATGGACAGTTCTTCAGCGGTCACGATTGCCAGCCCTGCCACCGCTTCTGTGCCACCTGCACTGGTACCTTCTCCTACTTCTCCCCTTACTTTCCTGCCTATGGTTTTGGTTTTATTTGGTGCTAGCCATCTTTCATGCAGCACTCAGTACATTTCAAGTAAGTGTGTATTTCAAGTAAGTGTGTAGGGCCACGTTTCTCCCGATAGTGCTGCACTAGCTGTCACAGAAAGCTGGCCATCAGCCCCTTGTCCTCACTGAGGCATTTAAAGATCCCAGCGGAATCTCCTTCGCAGAAGGACAGGAATTCTTGACACATAGGTTCAGTTAAAAACAAAAGAGGCCCCTCCCAGTCCCACTGAAGGCAAGTAAAAGAGAAGACAAAATTATGACCTAGGATGGTGGCAGATGGGCGTGGCTATCACAGACTGCGATGGAATCCCATATTTCAGCCTCTCCTGAGGCTTTCCTTTTTCCCTGTTTCTTGCATGTGCCTTGCACTGAAGGGGCCGGAGCAGATGGGTGTATTAACTGCACTGAGGGCTATGTCATGGAAGAGGGAAGGTGTGTACAGAGCTGCAGTGTGAGCCATTATCTGGACCAGTCTTCAGAGAATGGATACAAATCCTGCAAGAGGTAAGTCCCGCTGCTCTGACCTTAGCACTGGACATCTGAGTTCCTACGAGGGCTGTCTTCCTAAAAAATGACAAAACTGAGAATATTTAATAACAAGGTATGATTCAGTCACAGAGACCTCTGGATATTGGCCTATAGAATTGGGTCATGTTGTCTGCTATTTTTAATGTCTCAGGGCCACCTTAAAGTTTTCTGTTTGTGCATGTTGGTAGTAAGTATCTGGAGGCCAGAGATCAACATTGAGTGTCTTTCTCAATTGTTCTTTTCTTTTTTGTTTGTTTGTTTGTTTGTTTGTTTCAGCAGGATCACTCACTAGTTTTACTAGATGGTCAAGCACAAACCCCCAAGATCTGTCTCCGTTCCCGGCACTGAGATTATACTATACTTGCCTTTTGACATGGGTGTTGGGGATCTGAACCTTACCAAATAAGCCACCTCCCTGAGTCCCCCTCACACATACCTTAGAGCTTTTAAAATAGTATTTCTATTTCCAAGCCATGCTTTGTCCCCTTTGGCAGCAGTGTCTACCTGCTGTGTTTTCTCAAATGTCCTCAAATCTAACAGCTGTTGTAAGAAAAGATTTTTTTTTTGTCATCTTCAAAGGAAGAGTTAATTTGAAGCTGTTAAGGGATTGTGGTAAATATAGCTTCTCTCCATGCAGATGGGTAAGAGGTTCAATGACTGTGCATTTTGTCCCTAGATGTGATAACAGCTGTTTGACATGCAATGGCCCAGGATTCAAAAACTGTTCCAGCTGCCCCACTGGGTATCTTTTAGACTTAGGAACGTGTCAGATGGGAGCCATCTGCAAGGATGGTGAGTACAGCTATGTGACCTGATCTGTGATCTTTGCAGGCTAATGCATTTCCATCTTAATAAAGAAACTAACAAGCATGCAGCTCAAAGGATATGCTCAGTATCTTGTGGATATTCACTCACCTTGAATTTACACCCTTAACGGGTCATGTTGCTTGGTATTGTCTTGTTACCATTGTTTAGAGACAGAATCTGACTGTGTAGCTAAGGCTGGACTCAAACTCATGGTCCTCTTACGTCAGCCCCCTAGGATCCTAGGATTGTGTGTACCACCACCTCCCATCATCCCATTTTGTTTCTCTTTCTTTTTCTTTTTTTTTTTTTTTTTTAGTTATAGAGAGAAATAAGGCAACCTGCAATCCCAAAATGGTTCCAGTTAGTTGTCTTAATTAATAAACTGTATTTTTCAGGGCAGCTCCCCCTTCATAGAAAACCTGAGCATACGCTCCAAGCCCACACACAAGCATGGCCTTCCCCACTGTCAACAGCCATAACACAGCGTTACATTTGCCACAGCCTGCAATGACACATTATTATCATCCACGTCCATAGCTTACATTAGCATATGTGTTTGAGCAAGCATACAGGACGTGTTTGTGCCATTATCACATCACACAGGATGGTTTCATTGCCCTAAAGCTCCCCTCTGTTCTGCCATTAATTGTACTGCCTTCCCCCGGTTCCTGGAAATCTTGACTTTTTTTTAAAACTGTCTCCATGAGGTCTTTCTTTGAAAAACAACTTATATTTATGGTCATATAATAGCCCTTTCTGGTTGGTTGGTTTTGAATTGTTTCTTTCCCATTTTGCTCTCATATAGACGTTTTACCAGATTTGTTGATGTCTCATACATAGGGCTTTATACCTTCCCTTGATCACTAAGCATTTTGCATAAACATCTTCCTAAGTCATATGTTTTAAAAACTCTTGGGCAGCTTCATTTTGATAATACGATAGTATTGATCATTTAAATATTCCCTTATACTAGCCACTCTGATAATTTGGAATTTTTTTATTGTTTTGATATTTGAATCCTAATCAAGTGGCATTAAACTGTTTCATGATGCATAAAAGGCTAGAAATTAATATTCCAATCTTCTAGTAGGAAAACCTAACATGTGATGCTAAAAAGTGACAGGCCAAACCTAGAACTTAAGACTCCCGAGTATTGGGCCAGTCTGCTTTTCCTGCCATTAATGGTTTTTAATCCAAATTCTGGGACCCATGCCATCCCCAATGATTCTGATTAAATTGTGCAGGGTATAATATGATGTAGCTATTTTTACATTTTGATTATTTCAATGCCAACATTAGTTTTTGACTTCCTACATAATTCGTGGTGGGGGTACCCTAAACATTGTACCTGAACTTTGCATGCCAAATGTATTTCAATAGAGAAATCAACCGTATTTGAACTATCATTCAACATGTCTTTGGAGACTGCATTTGGAATAGTCTTGGTCACAAGCTCTAGGGAAAGGCAGCTTGGCAGAATGTGGAGTTCAGAGTCTGTAGGCTGTATTCAGATCTCCAGACCTCGGGCTTATTTCTCTCCTCCACACAAAATGAAGAAGATGCTGTATGGTCACTCCATGGCTCACTATTAGGAACCTCGAAAGGGCACAGCAAGAAGGGAGCCCATGGGAACACTGATACAAGGTCATTTCTAGTCTTATTTCCTTGAAATATCCAGGCGGCTTCATCCTCATCATGTTCCTGATGAACAGGTAGGCTGGGCCCACCCCACTCTGTACCTTTAGATCCTGCCAAGGCTAATTCTCAGTGCACCACTGAGGGGTGAGACGCCTACAGTGGAGGGCACCAGGGCCATGTAAGTATCAGCTGTCAGGTGCCAGAACATGCTTTTATATTGGACTACAACCAGAACATTTTTTTTAAGTCAGTGACAGTCACAGGACATCTACCTTGACCATCACCTCTAGCACATGGTACCAGACACCTAATGAAGCCCTAACCACCTTGCTAAGACATGCTGCCCATGGGCTAAATTGTACCAAATGGCAGCATGGTCAAAGGAAAGTGTCAGGATTGTGGGCTACAGTGAAAAAAGAAGAACTGTAGTTTACAATGAGGCCACTTTCAGGCCTGTTGAAGAATGAGGTCCTTTGAGCCTTCAGTTACATGATCAATGCTCTAAAGGACTAGAGTTTGCTCCTTTCCAACTGCTGTATTTCCGTGATTCCAAGACAACTGTTTTGCAGTTTACCATTTCTGAACTCAGATATATCTGTTCATTCATGACAACTCACTATTGCTTTGACCATCAGGTTGATGGGATATGTGTCATACCTCTTTGTGAGTGAGACTTAGCCACAGGAATGTACATTCTGAATCAATGAAGCCCATGGCTCCTGGCTCGCAGGTGTCATTTAAAAACAGTTCAAATGAACTACTCACATACTGTTAATAAGATTAAAATTAAAATTCCAATTGCCAACAGAATATGGTATCACAGTGCAAACATTATTACATTTGTGATACTGAAATAACAGTGAATCTTAAACCTTGTGTCTTGGATGCATTGTGTCTTGGAGTCAATGAAATATGGTAAAAATGACTGTATATTTTCTGTTCTCAATATTTCTGAGAAGAAAAGTTCCTTGCTTGTGATATTATTGATTTCTAATTTATTCTTTTTCCACTCTCTTTTTTTTTTTTTCTTTCACAAATGGATACCAATCACATTTACTGCTGGACTACAATATTTCTCCTTGAAACCACTGCTGTTGACTGAAATCACTTTGGGTGGACCAAATTCCCTCCTTGTTGCCTGCTCCTGAATGACCTCTTGCAAACTCCCCAAATCTACCTCTTTGGCCAATCAAAACCTCCCTCGGTGTGCCCTGCTGCTCTCAACTCCACTTCCCCTCTCTCTTGCTGACTTCCGGAAAAGCAACGGAAGAGTCCTGGGCGGAAGGAGGCTTCTGTATGCTTGTGAAAAAGAACAATCTGTGTCAGCGGAAAGTTTTACAACAACTGTGCTGCAAAACATGTACATTTCAAGGCTGAGCAGCCACCTTAGATCCTTGTTTGTGTAGACTTATAGATCATTCCATATTATTAAAGAGAAAAAAAAAAGCCAAAAAATGCAAACCACCTCTCTCTTTCTTGCTCTCTTTTTTTTTTTTTAACTCTCTCTCTCTCTCTGAAGTTTGTGCAGGGAGATGGTGAACTGTTTTGTCAGAACTTCAATAGAAAAAAAAATAAATAAAACTACAACAAGCCTACCTTTTATAACTGGATGTTTAGTATTAAACAGCCAGAAATCACAGAGACAGTATTGTATAACCAAAGTATTTGATGCCAAAATTTGACGTTAAAAGTAATGATTTGATTTCCTGCCCTGGTTGGAAGGTCCATTTTATTCCTTTGCATTCACTCACTTGTTTCTCCTTTAAAATGCCTGAAAGAGACTTTTTTTCCAAAAACATCACAAGCACACACATAGATCAGAATGAACAGAAAGCTCTTACATCAGTCGTTTTTCTGGCTTGAGTCTATGGCCAGGGGAAAGACAGGAAACTGGACCTTAGGGTACTGAAAACATCCAGCAGAGTGTGTTCAGCGTCCGTGTCTCAGTGTTTCACGGTTCCACGGTGATTACTCCCCACACATGTATTCTGGCCTTTTGTACTTTTCTTACCTGATAAGTCTGCTCCCCTGGCTTCACTGGGTAGACTTTCAGCCACTGGCTTTTCAAACACTGTCAACTGCGTTGTTTTTTACACAGCTGGTAAAATGGATTGCTCTGTAGAGTCAAACTGATGATAGAAGCATGTGATACCCAGAAGGCTGATCCTGGTCCCCTGAAGCCCAGAGGGTCACTCTGTAGACCCTGTGCAATCTCTTGGTGCTATGTAGCCGTTATCACCCCACCCCCACCCCCATGTCATCTTTTAACTGTCCTCAGAAATTACATTTGTCACGGTGGCGAGCATTTGGGTTATGATGCAGGAAATTTCTCCCTCTGGTCAAAAGTTCCTAAGAGGTCCTGTATTTTTTAAGAAATGGAATTTATTTAAATAATATTTAAGCTCATGCTTACACTGGTGGAACAGTGTTTCTCAATGGTGCTTATTGCTAGGTGTCTCATCCTGTCATTTTAAGAAAATAAAACTGGAAATTGAATGTGGGTGGCATGATTGTACCCTCCTGGTTCTGTATTTTCTCACTCCTCTGTCCCTCTATGACTAAGGCCATGTTCTCACACAGCTGTCCACTGAATGTCACTGAGCTGGGGTTGGTTTGTCCTCTGACTCAAAATGCATTCACCGGTTTTTCTCCGACTCCATTAACATTTCATGGAATCTAGAACACTGAACTATAGAGAAGCTACTTTGAATCTGTGGTTGAAAATACCGAAACCTGATCAATCTTTTTTGCAGTTCCTCTAAGAGTAACTGATATTACACACCTTTGCTTTTCCTATCAAGTCTCCATGGTGACGTCATGTACTTGGTGCATGACGAGGAATCTCCAATCTCTAAGCTTTGGGAAGCTACATTTCTGAGATGAGGCTTCACTGCTAAGGAGAGAGAGGTGATCCTGAGAAGGAGCTGGAGTGTAGGTGTGAAAGGCCCTGTTCACATAAACAAGTAGTAAACAGCCTACCCTGAAAACATCTCTAGACAGCAAAGTTCACTTCTAGCTGCAGGAAGATAATGAGTACTTGGTCTGGTGAACCCTTTAATAGCATTGTGATGTTACTGAGTCATGTGATTCATTAGTAACGAAGGAACTGGCAGGTTTGCTGAGCAACTTTTCCTCTTTAGAACACTGTAGGCTGTTCTGACCTGAAGAGCAAAGGGAATCCTGGTCAGAATGTTCTTCTGACATTCAAACACAGAGACTTTAAATGAACAAATGTAAACATGGGCCAGGCAGATGGTAGAATAGATTTGCCTGCAGAAAGAAAGAAAGAAAGAAAGAAAGAAAGAAAGAAAGAAAGAAAGAAAGAAAGAAAGAAAGAAA